TAGTAGCAGATAGTAGTAGTAGTAGTAGTAGTAGTAGTAGTAGTAGTAGCAGTAGTAGTAGTACTAGTAATACTAATAGTAACAGTAGTAGTAGTAGTAGTAGTAGTAGTAGTAGTAGTAGTAGTAGTCGTAGTCGTAGTCGTAGTCGTAGTAGTACTAATCGTCGTAGTAGTAGTAGATAGTAGTAGTAGTAGTAGTAGTAATAATAGTAGTAGTAGTAGTAGTAGTAGTAGTAGAGTGGTAGTAGTAGTAGTGGTAGTAGTAGTAGTAGCAGTAGTAGTAGCAGTAGTAGCAGTAGCAGTAGTTGTAGTAGTAGTAGTAGTAGTAGTAGTAGTAGTAGTAGTAGTAGCAGTAGTAGTAACAGTAGTAGCAGTAGCAGTAGCAGCAGTAGTAGTAGTAGTAGTAGTAGTAGTAGTAGTAGTAGGAGTTGTCGAGTAGTAGTAGTAGGAGTTGTCGTAGTAGTAGTAGTAGTAGTAGTAGTAGTAGTAGTAGTAGTAGTAGTAGTAGTAGTAGTAGGGGAGGCCGTGGGAGGCTCGCCGTTCCTGTTCCCGTTCGCGTTTCTTGGGTCGGCTTGAAGGCGTAGGGGGGGTAGACGGGCACGCGACCGGGCGGGAACGGAACGGGAACAAGAACGGGAACGGGAACGGGAACGGGAACGGGAACGGAACGGGAACGGAACCGGAACGGGAACGGAACGGGAACGGGAACGGGAACGGGAACGGAACGGAACGGGAACGGGAACGGAACGGGAACGGGAACGGGAACGGGAACGGGAACGGGAACGGAACGGGAACGGGAACGGGAACGGGAACGAACGGACTATAGGGTTCTCGCGCTTTTACCCCCCCCCCCCCCCTCCCATGAAGGGGGGGGTTCCGGACCCCCCCCTCCCGCCCCCTTGGCGCTGGAAAGGGAGGGGAGGTCGGACCCCCCCCCCCTCCCCCCCTTTGCGCCGGAAAGGGAGCCCGGGAGGGAGGGCCTCTCTCGCTTCTCCTTTCTGCGCCAGAAAAGGTGTGTAGGGAGTACGGAGTTGAGAGTAGGGAGTGGTGAGTAGTGAGTTAGTGCGTAGTGAATATTTGGTAGTGAATAGTGGGTAGTGAGAGGCGAGTAGGGAGTAGGGAGTGGGGAGTAGTGAGTTGTGGGTATTGTGTACGCATAAGTGAGTAGTGAGTGGCGAGTAGTGAGTAGTGAGTAGCGAGTACTGAATAGGGAGTAGGGAGTAATGAGTAGCGGGTACTGAGTAGTGGGTGTTGAGTAGTGCTTAGTGAGTAGTGAGAAGTGGGTAGTGCGTAGTGAAGAGTGAGTATTGAATAGTGAGTAGCGAGTAGTGAATAGTGAGTAGTGTACGTAGTGCGTAGTGATGAATACAAAGCAGTGGGTGGTGGCAGTGGGTAGCGTGTAGTGAGTCGCGAGTAGGGAGTAGAGAGTAGTGAGGAGCCGGTAGGTCGGAGTGAGTAGTGAGTAGAGAGTAGTCAGTAGTGGGTAGTGATCAATGAGTAACGACTAGGGAATAACGAGTAGTGAGTAGTGAGTAGGGAGTAGGAAGTAGTGAGCAGTGAGTAGTAAGAAGAAGGTAGCGAAAGTTGGTAGTGAGTAGCGACTAGTGAGTAGTGGGTAGTGACTAGTGACTAGTGCCCTGTGACTAGTGACTAGAGACGATGTAATGATTCGCGAGTAGGGAGTCGTAGGGAGTAGCGGGGAGTGAGTAGTGAGTATTGAGTAGCGAGTATGGGAGTAGCGAGTAGTGCATAGTGAGTACCGTCTAGTCTGTATCGTCTAGGGGGTAGGGAGTAGGGAGTAGGGAGTAGTGGGTAGTGATTTGGGGGCAATGAGTAGTGAGTAATGGATAGTGGGTAATGAGTGGTGATGAGTGAGTAGTGCTTAGTGACTGGCAAGCAAAGAGTAGTGGGTAGTGAGGAGTGAGTAGCGAGTAGGGAGGAGGGAGTGGTGAGTAGGGAGTAGTGAGTCGTGGGTGGTCGGTGGTGAGTAGTGGATACAGATAGTGAGTAGTGAGTAGGGATATTGAGCAGTGAGTAGCGAATAGCGAGTAGTCAGTAGTGGGTAGTGAATAATGAGTAGTGAATACTCCTTGGGGCTGGGTTAGTGGTTGGGTTAGGGGTTGGGGTGGGGGTGAAGACTAGGGGAGGGGTGGCCGGAGGGGATGGGTTCCCGTAGTCCAGGGGGGGCGTGGCGGAAAGGGGGGGGAGGGGGGGTTGCGGCCAAAGGGGGGGAAGGGGGGGAGGGGTCGTAGACGGACACCCCCCTCCCGTTTTTTGAAAGGGGGGGTCCCGACGACGGATCGGGGAAAGGGTTGGGGGGGGGTCCCCGACGGACGACGGGGAAGGAAGAGGAGAGAGGGGGGGGTCCCCGACGACGGATCGGGGAAGGGGGGGGGTCCGACCCCCCCCCCTTGGGGAGATCCAGCGGCGCACCCTCGAAATCACAGCATCGCGAACATCGCGACAGGAGCACTAGACACAACCTCTCTGCGGCATGCTTTGAGCCAGATCGGTCTGTCCTGGTCCTGGAGCCCGAGGCTGGGCGAAATCGCCAAGAGAGTGCAACGCCTCGAACGGGATCCACCAAGGGGGGGTGATCCTGAGTGAGGGCATGAGATCGATCCAGTGGTGCACCGAACTGCCGCAAAGAGATGCCCCCCCGCAGGCCCCACCTGTCGGCAACTGTCGGGAGCTGCCGGCCGCTGGGGGGCACCTGTTTTGGGTGGTTCGGTGCAAAAACCGATCGAACTCTCTCTCTCTCTCTCTCGCTCTCTCTCATTTTCACACACACACCCACACCCCACGGGGCATACCTCCCTTGTACGGGATCCCGACTCGATCTGAGGGTGCGACAAGAGTTTTCCTCGAGCAGACCAGGAGGAGAGCGTTTCTTTCTGTTCGGCGATGACGGGCCTCATGGGGGGGTGGGTGGGCGGGGGGTATGACGTAACGCCGCCCCCCCCGCCGTGTGGCTCCGGCACCACAGCCGCGCCCGCGCGCACGACGCGACGAGCGACAAGCGACAAACGACGACGGCGACGACGACGCGAGCAGCATGTAAGTGGCGATCTGCCCCCTCTGCGCCTGGGTACACCAAAACGCTCGCGTGCACCACAGCGCGCGTGTACACCACAGCGCCTGCGTACATCGACACAACCGTGTGCAATGCAGCGCCTGTGTACACTGCAGTGCTTGCGTACACTACAGCGCCGGTGTACATGTGCACACCAGAGGCAAACATGTGCAACAGAGCGCCTGTGTACACCACAGTGCTTGCGTGCACCGCGGCGCCTGTGCACGCCGCAGCGTCTGTCAACACCACAGCATCCGCGTGCAACGCAGCGCTAAGTGTACACCACAGCGCGTGCGTGCATAGGGCAAGTAGAAGGAGCCTGTCCGTGATGATTTGCTGCGGAAGCGCCACGCCAAGAAAATGCTGATAGTCGAACGCGACGTTTTCCCTCTTCCCTGTTCCTCCATTTCCACCTCCTCCTCCTCCTCGTTGTTCTCCTCCTCCTCCTCCTCCTCTTCCTCCTCCTCCTCCTCCTCCTCCTCCTCCTCTCCTCCTCCTCCTCCTCCTCCTCCTCCTTACCCCGTGTCGTGCGGGTTGGCGCTTAAAACGGACGTGCGCAACTGCACCACAGAATGGTCTATTGAATCGGCCCAATTGGTTTTCGGATGACCCATTTAGCTGGAGCCTCCTGGACACAAATGGGAGGAGTTACGGTGATGCGGGCGAACTCGGAAGGACTCGTAGATTCCCCGGGCGCTCCCTTTGTCCATAAGGATTACTTTTTGGTGTTTTCGGTGGAATCCACAAACGCTCCATTTTGTCATAACGATTTTTTCTAACATTCTACATACAACAGTGGTGCTGTGTTGCACACGGTTGCTGTGGTGCACACAAGCGCCGTGGTGCACACAGGCAGTGCAATGCACGCAGGCATTGTGGTGTACACTGCTGTGTTGCACACGGCTGATGTGGTGTACGCAGGCGCTGTGGTGTACACAAGAGCTGTTGTGCCCGCGCGCGCGGTGGCACAAACTGACGCTGTGTTGCACGCGACTGCTGTGGTGTACATAGGCGGTGTGGTGTACACAGGCGCTGTGGTGCACGCAGGCACTGAGGTGCACACAAGCGTTGTGGAACAGATCGCCACCTACATGCTGGTGCCACCCGTCCTCCGCCATTCCTGGGCATTCCCAAGCACCGCCAGCGCGAAGCGTGACGTCATCGACCCCCCCAAATGATTGCCGTCATCGGCCCGGAATTAAAAAAGAAAAACAGGCTCCAGCCGCGTCCGCGCGCACGACGACGAGGAGCGACGAGCGACGAGCGACGAGCCACGAGCGACGACGACGACGACGACGACGTCGACGACTGCGGACCAGACTCCTATGCGGATTCCTACGCGGACACCCACGCGGATCCCAATGCGCACGGCGGCACTGCCTGGAGCGCACTGGGGGGTGGAGCGTTACGTCATGGGGGGGGGCGGGGGCCATGACTCCCGTCATGCCCAA